TTGTATGGGTGCAGTTATAATAATAATATTTATAATTAATATTATTATTAATTTTGTTATGTTTTTCTGTTTCCTTTCACAGTTGGATCTTGTGCCCACATTGCCTACATTTTTTCCCTCTGCATGCTCTGGGTGCATTGTTTTGGCTGCACATTGTCCCCACAGGTTGATCAGTTTGGTATTCTCTTGTTAGTAGATATTTATATATTTGAATATTTATTGGACTACTGCATTGCTCTACTCACTGGTGTACCTAAATCCACTATTAGTTGACTTAAATATGTACAAAATTCTTCAGCCAGAATCCTGACTAGATTTGGTACAAGTGACCATATTACCCCTATCCTTGGAATCCTTGCATTGCTACAAAACTCTGGAATTCACTTCCAAAGAACATCAAAGAGTCATCTTCACTAAACTCATTCAAATCAAATCTAAAGACCTTTTTCTTTAGAAAATCTTTCATGTAATTGTCCTTTTTTTTCTTTTATTTTATCCTGGGTATTACTTGTGTTTTCTTCAAGAAGCTACCTTTAAAGGGGCTATATAAAATAAATATATTATTATTGTTTATTCTTTGATTTATGATAAATTCTTTAAATATACAATGGTACTCCTTACTATAATTGCAGAATTCATTGTGTCTTACAAGTTGGTTATATTATATAAAAATTTTTTTATATGTGCTATATATTAGAACACGCCTTTCCTGAAGAAGCACTTGGCGAAACGTGTTGAGACACAACACTCTTCCACAGCTCCTATTTATTATGTGATACACAGTGTATGTATCTGTTCTGAATCCGGACAGGTATTATTCTGGTCGTTTCTGGAATGGGAAAGTGATATCCATGTTATGCTGTCGATGGGTTTGCACTCATGGGGTTTTGTTCGCATAAGATGAGATACTATGTATGTTTTTTTTTTTATTTCTTTTTAATATGACCAATCAGATGTTTGCTTGAGTTGTGATAATAAACTTTGGATTTTAACACATTTTATGTATGATAAGTCTTTGAGATATGATACACTGTAAGAATTCCATAGACCCTGTTTTTGTCCTTAGGGACAGTTGATGTTTAATATTGTTGGGATGTGGTGATGGTTAGCTCCACTCATTCCCTAAGCATAGACACGAAATAGAAAACATGTGGCATTAATGTGGTATTAATCAAAGAGTTATCATCTAAAGCTGGCCACAGACGGGTAATATTTTATTTCAAAATGTTTTTATTGAAGATTTTCAATAACAGGGTAATGTTATAATAATAACGTTCAATTCAATAAAAATTGTAGTCATACAATACATTATTGGAGCATGTGTACCCCACCCTTTGGCTGGGGACAAAGAATAAGGCAATAATAACATAGGTAGGTATGGATATATACTGAACTTTGGAGAGGTGTAGAAAATAGTAGAGGGGTGTAAACATGGGGAGAACAGGAAGAGGGTAGGGAGAGGAGAGGAGGAGGAAGTTATAAAGGGATGAGCAGAGGAGTACCAGTCTAAAATGGATGGGTAATTCAATTGTTTGTACAAAATCAGGCTTGTACTGAGCAATTGGGATGTTTTAACCAGTTAGTCCATTGGGAATTAAATTTGTATTAGGTGGAGTTGTTGAGGGCCGATCTTTTTTCCATTTAGCTTTGGAAATTAAGATCTGTAATTAGTGATTTAAGAGAAGGGGCAGTAGTGGTGTTCCATAATCTGGTTATAGTGATTTTTGCTGCGAAAAGTATGTGGACAATTATGGTGCGAGAGGTATAGGGGAATTTTTCAATCCCAATATGTAAAAGCGCAAGTAGAGGGTTTGGGTTGATCACTGTTTGGGTTATTTCAGAGAGTAGTTAAGTATAATTTTGGACGAGTTGCGGGTCTTTACCAGGTTTAGAGATTGTTGTTATTATTGATTGTAGCATTGTCTTTGGGAAATATACCAGTGGTGGCAGCATGGTTAAAGAGTTTGGATAGGTATGGTGCTAGATTTGGGGCAAAATATTTGTAAATTCATTCGCATAACCGTTTCCTGGAGATTTAAAAGAGGGAGTGTTTTGGTGATATTTTCTATTTCTGTGATAGATATCGGAGTAGATATAGCATCAAGTTGGGATGGGGAGAGTTGGGGGAGTTTGGTTGTGTGAAGAAATTGTTGTATGGATGTAAGTGTTGGTTGGATGGTGTCAGGATCGTTTTTAAGATTATATAGTTGTTGGTAATAGGTCGCAAAGGCGTTAGCTATTTCTTGTGGATTTGTGGTTAAAGTATGTGTGGTTGGGTGATGAACTGAGGATATTTTGGCTTTTAGGCGTCGCTGCTTAATCATTTTGGTTAATAAGGCGTTAGCTTTGTTGCTCATGGAGTAAAATTTAGCTTTCGTTTTTTGAAGGTTGAGGTCGTATTTATAAAGTAGGAGGGTTCTGAGTTTGTTTCTATCCGTGGCGAGGGAAGTAGAAGTTGAGGGGTCGGGGAATGTTTTGTTTAATTCTTCTTTTGTTTTAATTGACATGAGGAGTTCATCTATTTGTTGGTTTCTTTGTTTAGAGATACGGGTGTTTAGTTGAATAACAATACCTCTCATGTATGCCTTGTAGGTAGACCATAGTATAGGTATAGAAATATCAGGTGATTCATTCATTTAAAAAAACAGGTTATGAGCGTTTAGTATATGTTTTCAGTAGTCTGGATTCTTCAGTAAGGTTGAGTTCAATCTCCATATTCGAGGGATCGAAGACTGTTGATCGTGGTCCAGAGTGATGGAAATTGGAGCGTGGTCGGACCATGTTATGATGCCGATCTTGGAGGAGGTGATATGTTGTAAGGTCCACTTGTCTGTGATAAAAAAGTAAATTCTGGAATAGGAGAGGTGGGCCAAAGAATAATAGGTGTAGTCTTTTTCTGTACTGTGTTGGCATCGCCATATGTCGTAGAGGTCGTTGTGTAGAAAATGGTTAAAAGTATGTTTAAAGGACCGTTTACTGGAAGAAGAGTCCAGGAGTGGGTTGCTTATGATTAGAGATGAGCGAATTATTCAAAAATTTGATTCGACTGATTCGGCGGATTCGTGAAAAAATTTCGATTTGAGTCGAATATATTCGCTGCGAATTTAACTTATAAAAGGGTGTTTCTGGCTTCAGAGAGCCTTTATATTAGTGCAGAACACTGTACCTTTAATTTAAATGCCCTTGGAGTCTGCTGGGGAAGAGAAATAATACTGTCAGTCAGTATGACATGCAGATGAGTGCCGTCGATCTTAGAATCACCGCACACTTCACTCATTTGGGCGGTCACGGGGCCAAAACCAGAGTGTGGAGCCACAGTGTGGCGGTGGAGGCAGCAGCAATGGGAGGCCATACAGCACCCTATGACAAAATGGAACCCACCAGCAGTGTGAGGAGACCTGAAAGTGGCACATGGCAGAGTGTGGCGATGGAGACAGCAGCAATGGGAGGCCGTACAGGGACCCATGACACACTCTGGACCTGGCAGCAGCATGAGGAGGCGGTACAGGAGCCCATGACAGATTACGGGCCTGGCAGCAGCATGAGGAGTTGGTACGGGGCCCATGGCAGATTACGGGCCTGGCAGCAGCAATGGGAGGCCGTACAGGGACCCATGACACACTCTGACCTGGCAGCAGCATGAGGAGGCGGTACAGGGGCCCATGACAGATTACGGGCCTGGCAGCAGCATGAGGAGTCGGTACGGGGGCCCATGACACACTCTGGACCTGGCAGCAGCATGAGGAGGCGGTACAGGGGCGCATGACAGATTACGAGCCTGGCAGCAGCAACTTGGACAGGAGGACGTTCAGCTTCTGCACCGTCGGGTGCGTGCTCGCAAACTGTTGTCTCTTGGAAAGGGATTCCAAGAAAGACTGCTGACAGAATCCGTGAAGAGGAGTAGCAGGAGAAGGAGCATCTGAACGAGCGGAATATGCCAACAAGCGACAACAGGGGCCCATGACAGATTACGGGCCTGGCAGCAGCATGAGGATCGGTACGGGGGCCCATGGCAGATTACGGGCCTGGCAGGAGCAATGGGAGGCCCGTAATCTGCCAGCACCCTATGACAAAAAATGGAACCCACCAGCAGTGTGAGGAGACCTGAAAGTGGCACATGGCAGAGTGTGGCGATGGAGACAGCAGCAATGGGAGGCCGTACAGGGACCCATGAGAGACTGTGGACCTGGCAGCAGCATGAGGAGGCGGTACTGGGGCCCATGGCAGATTACGGGCCTGGCAGCAGCAATGGGAGGCCCGTAATCTGCCAGCACCCTATGACAAAAAATGGAACACACCAGCAGTGTGAGGAGACCTGAAAGTGGCACATGGCAGAGTGTGGCGATGGAGACAGCAGCAATGGGAGGCGGTACAGGGACCCATGAGACACTGTGGACCTGGCAGCAGCATGAGGAGGCGGTACAGGGGCCCATGGCAGATTAAGGCCTGGCAGCAGCAATGGGAGGCCCGTAATCTGCCAGCACCCTATGACAAAATGGAACCCTGGGCTGGGGCAGGCAGAACCGCCGTATCTTTATCATGGTTTTCCCAGGCCACCGAATGGCGACGCTGCATATGCTGCCGCAACGCTGTAGTCCCCAACATGGGCCCCCTGATCCACGCCTGGCTTGACTTTCTGGCCACATAGTCGACATATGGCTACGTTTACTTCCTCTGGCGGCTTGACGAAAAATTGCCACACCGCCGAGTAGGAAAGTTTGCCCCCGCTACTCCTCACTGGCTGACTGCTACTTCCTCCGTGCACACCGGCACCACTACTGGCCGATTGGTGGTAGGCTGCAGTGGAGGGTGCTCTACTCCGTGGCCGTTTGCCTCCACTGACACTGCTGCGACCCTGCTGCCTCCTGGGCAGCAGCAATGGGAGGCCGTACAGGGACCCATGAGAGACTCTGGACCTGGCAGCAGCATGAGGAGGCGGTACAGGGGCCCATGGCAGATTAGGGGCCTGGCAGCAGCTATGGGAGGCCCGTAATCTGCCAGCACCCTATGACAAAAAATGGAACACACCAGCAGTGTGAGGAGACCTGAAAGTGGCACATGGCAGAGTGTGGCGATGGAGACAGCAGCAACAATAGGAGGCCGTACAGGGACCCATGAGACACTGGACCTGGCAGCAGCATGAGGAGGCGGTACAGGGGCCCATGGCAGATTAGGGGCCTGGCAGCAGCTATGGGAGGCCCGTAATCTGCCAGCACCCTATGACAAAAAATGGAACACACCAGCAGTGTGAGGAGACCTGGCACATGGCAGAGTGTGGCATGGATGGCAATGGGAGGCCGTACAGGGACCCATGGCACATGGCAGACTGTGGCGACCTGGCAGCAGCATGAGGAGGCGGTACAGGGGCCCATGGCAGATTAGGGGCCTGGCAGCAGCAATGGGAGGCCCGTAATCTGCCAGCACCCTATGACAAAAAATGGAACACACCAGACCTGAAAGTGGCACATGGGACTGTGGACCTGAAAGTGGCACATGGCAGATGTGTGGCGTAATGGATGACAGGAACACACCAGCAATGTGTGAGGAGGGAGGCCGTACAGCAGGGACCCATGAGACACTGTGGACCTGGCAGCAGCATGAGGAGGCGGTACAGGGGCCCATGGCAGATTTAGGGGCCTGGCAGCAGCTATGGGAGGCCCGTAATCTGCCAGCACCCTATGACAAAAAATGGAACACACCAGCAGTGTGAGGAGACCTGAAAGTGGCACATGGCAGAGTGTGGCGATGGAGACAGCAGCAATGGGAGGCCGTACAGGGACCCATGAGAGACTCTGGACCTGGCAGCAGCATGAGGAGGCGGTATAGGGGCCCATGGCAGATTAGGGGCCTGGCAGCAGCAATGGGAGGCCCGTAATCTGCCAGCACCCTATGACAAAAAATGGAACACACCAGCAGTGTGAGGAGACCTGAAAGTGGCACATGTTTGGGGCATGATTCATGGCGGATTTAGTCAGTTGTGTCAGGAACTGGTGGTTTGAAATCCAGACTAATCCACGCCTGATTCATTTTCACAAACGTGAGTCTCTCCACACTTTGGGTGGACAGTCGTGTCCTCCGCGGAGTTACAATACCTCCTGCCGCACTAAACACGCGCTCCGATGCCACGCTACTGGCCGGGCATGACAGCCTTTCAAGGGCAAATTCAGCTAGTTGGGGCCAAAGGTCAAGTTTCGTTGCCCAGTAGTCAAGGGGATTGTCTACCTCGGTTGGCAGGGTGCTGTCCAAGTAGGCCCAAGCCTGTTGTTTGAGGTCCTGCTCCAGGTCCACCTGATGCTGCTGCTGCTGCGGCTGGTTAGTAGTTTCCTCACTGCGCTGGTGAAGAAAGCTACTCATCATCGACTGCAGACTGAGGCAGCCGCTGCTGGTGGAGCTGCCACTGCTCCTACCACCCCACCCCTCCCCTGCTGCCATGGCAGCGGAACGCGAGCGCACAGGGCCCACAGTGTCTGAGGATGGACGTTGGCGCACAAAGGCAGAGACCAACTGACTACATAGGTGGTTTTTATAGTACGTTATTTTGGCCTCCCTCTCAGCAGGTGTGAAAAAGGCCACCATTTTTGAACGGTAGCGAGGGTCCAACAAGGTGGACAGCCAAAAGTCATCCCTCTGTCTGATGGTTATTATTCGGCTGTCGCTACGCAAGCAACCGAGCATGCTATGGGCCATTTGTGCCAAGGAATGCGAGGGACTCCCTGCCTCCATCTCCACAGCATACTGCCACGGTGCGTCTGGGTCCTCTGTCTCCTCCTCCTCCTCCTCTACCAGATGCTCCTGCTCCTCCACTCCTGTCCGCTGAGTGGAAAAACCACCCATTTCACTCAATAATTCCTGAGCACAAATGTCCTCCTCTACCTCCTCCTCTTCTTCCTGTCCTGCCCCCACAGGGGTCATGTGGCGTTGAGATCTGTGCGCCACGTCTACCGCACCCTGACCAGCCATTGTTAACAGCATTTGTTCCAGGACGTGCAACAGAGGAATGACGTCGTTCATCCCATAGTCCTGCCGACTCACGAATAGCGTGGCCTCCTCAAAGGGCCTGAGCAAGCGGCAGGTGTCACGCATGAGCTGCCAATGGCTGACATCGAAGTTACACAGGGGAGTACCTTTATCCGCTTGTAACATCAGGAAATCGGTGATGGCCTTTCGCTGTTCGTAAAGGCGGTCTAACATGTGTAGGGTTGAATTCCACCTTGTTGCAACGTCGCAGATCAGGCGATGCTGTGGAATTCCGTTCTGCCGCTGCAGCTCAAGGAGGGTGTGCTTTGCGGTGTAGGAATGGCTGAAATGCATGCAAAGTTTACGTGACATTTTAAGGATGTCTTGCAGTGGGATGGTGGATTTTAGGAACCGCTTGACAACCAGATTGAACACGTGAGCCATGCATGGCGCATGGCACAACCTTCCTTGACGCAGAGCAGACACCATGTTCTTTCCGTTGTCGGTCAACATGGTTCCGATTTTCAGTTTGCGCGGAGACAGCCATCTGTCGATTTCTCTGTTCATTACACTCAGAAGTTCCTCCCCTGTGTGACTACGTTCGCCAAGGCATACCAGGTGCAGCACAGCGTGACACCGTTGCGCCCTGCACATGTGATATGCCGGTCGGGTAATGGGACTTGGCACGGGGGTGGCGGCTGAGGACACGGCGGAAGAAGAGGTGGTAGAGGCGGGACATCTTTTGTGGACCAAGGACGTGCAAACGTGGAGGCAAAAGCGGCGTGACCTGTCCAAGTTGCTGGTGCGGCTGTGACGGCACCACGTTCACCCAGTGGGCCGTAAATGACATGTACTGTCCCTGACCGTAGTTACAGCTCCACACGTCGGCGCTGCCGTGCACTTTGGCAGAGACCGACATGCTCAAAGACTGGCCCACCATCTCTTCTACATGTGAATGCAGGGCTGGCACTGCCTTTTTGGCGAAGAAATGACGGCTTGGCACTCTCCACCGCGGCGCGGCACAAGCCATCATTTCTCGGAAAGGTGCTGAGTCCACCACTTGGAAAGGGAGGGACTGCAGCACCAGCAACTTGGACAGGAGGACGTTCAGCTTTTGCACCGTCGGGTGCGTGCTCGCAAACTGTTGTCTCTTGGAACGGATTCCAAGAAAGACTGCTGACGGACGGAATCCGTGAAGAGGAGTAGCAGGAGAAGGAGCATCTGAACGAGCGGAAGATGCCAACGAGCGACAACTCCCCTCAGCAGAGGTGTTGGAGCCTTGACTGGCTGATAGAGGGCGATTGACGTCGGGTGACGGAGCAAGTAACGGAGCGGGTGATGGAGGGGGCTGGGGCAGGCAGAACCGCCGTATCTTTATCACGGTTTTCCCAGGCCACCAAATGGCGACGCTGCATATGCTGCCGCAACGCTGTAGTCCCAACATGGGCCCCCTGGCCACGCTTGACTTTCTGGCCACATAGTCGACATACGGCTACGTTTACTTCCTCGGGCGGCTTGACGAAAAATTGCCACACCGCCGAGTAGGAAACTTTGCCCCCGATACTCCTCACTGGCTGACTGCTACTTCCTCCGTGCACACCGGCACCACTACTGGCCGTGGTGGTAGGCTGCAGTGGAGCTGGTGCTCTACTCCGTGGCCGTTTGCCTCCACTGACACTGCTGCGACCCTGCTGCCTCCTGGGCAACCCACCGACTGTTTTGCTCGCTGCCAAGCTGCCACCCTCTTCTCCTGATGATGCGGAAGCAATAGCCTGATGACGACGAGGCTGCCAAGTGCGATCAGCCTCATCATCATCAATTAGGGTCTCCGCCTCACTACTAGCCCCCTCGGCTGCGTGTGGGTCAGGAGACAGACCTGTCTCTAGACCGGCTACCGAGCCACTCTCCTCGCCACTACTTCTTCGCCTGGCTGCTGAAGAGGCGGATGTCTCCCCCCGTTCCTGACCGCCCTCTGTTAGCTCTTCCTCACTGTACAGTGGGGCTGAGCCCACAGCATGCGATACTTCGCTTGGTGAGGGAACACCAAAGGACAGGGGCAGGTAGAGGACACGTGATTTCAGTGGGCTTGCTCCCGGGCCATGCCAACTAACGGTTGTGTCTGACGTACCCACCGACCGTTGGCTGTAGGTGTCAGAGGTGACCTGGGAAGAGGAAGACGACCGAGCCAACCAATCGATGACGGCAGGGTTGTCGGTGGAGACACGACCGCTGGAGACACCGGGAGCAATGGCCTCTGGCTGCGACTAGTGCTGCCTCGACCCCTTCCTCTGCTGCCACGTCTGCTCGCTCCTAAAACATTGCCTCCTCTGCCACTCCTCTGCATGTTGTCTGACATACTCTTTTTAATTAAACGATTCTGTGTCCCTGAGTAACAAATTCTGAGTGTGTCCCTGAGTAACAATTCTGTGTGTCCCTGAGTAACAATTCTGTGTCCCTCAGTAACAATTCTGTGTCCCTCAGTAACAATTCTGTGTCCCTCAGTAACAATTCTGTGTCCCTCAGTAACAATTCTGTGTCCCTCAGTAACAATTCTGTGTCCCTGAGTAACAATTCTGTGTCCCTCAGTAACAATTCTGTGTCCCTCAGTAACAATTCTGTGTCCCTGAGTAACAATTCTGTGTCCCTCAGTAACAATTCTGTGTCCCTCAGTAACAATTCTGTGTCCCTCAGTAACAATTCTGTGTCCCTCAGTAACAATTCTGTGTCTGTCCCTGAGTAACAATTCTGTGTCCCTCAGTAACAATTCTGTGTCCCTCAGTAACAATTCTGTGTCCCTGAGTAACAATTTCTGTGTCCCTCAGTAACAATTCTGTGTCCCTCAGTAACAATTCTGTGTCCCTGAGTAACAATTCTGTGTCCCTGAGTAACAATTCTGTGTCAGTGTGTCCCTGTGTCCCTGAGTAACAATTCTGTGTCCCTCAGTAACAATTCTGTGTCCCTCAGTAACAATTCTGTGTCCCTGAGTAACAATTCTGTGTCTGTCCCTGAGTAACAATTCTGTGTCTGTCCCTGAGTAACAATTCTGTGTCCCTCAGTAACAATTCTGTGTCCCTCAGTAACATTTCTGTGTCCCTGAGTAACAATTCTGTGTCTGTCCCTGAGTAACAATTCTGTGTCCCTCAGTAACAATTCTGTGTCCCTCAGTAACAATTCTGTGTCCCTGAGTAACAATTCTGTGTCTGTCCCTGAGTAACAAATTCTGTGTCTGTCCCTGAGTAAACAATTCTGTGTCCCTCAGTAACAATTCTGTGTCCCTCAGTAACAATTCTGTGTCTGTCCCTGAGTAACAATTCTGTGTCTGTCCCTGAGTAACAATTCTGTGTCCCTCAGTAACAATTCTGTGTCCCTCAGTAACAATTCTGTGTCCCTCAGTAACAATTCTGTGTCCCCAGTAACAATTCTGTGTCTGTCCCTGAGTAACAATTCTGTGTCCCTCAGTAACAATTCTGTGTCCCCTCAGTAACAATTCTGTGTCCCTCAGTAACAATTCTGTGTCCCTCAGTAACAATTCTGTGTGTCCCTGAGTAACAATTCTGTGTCCCTGAGTAACAATTCTGTGTCCCTCAGTAACAATTCTGTGTGTCCCTCAGTAACAATTCTGTGTTCCTGAGTAACAATTCTGTGTCCCTCAGTAACAATTTCTGTGTGTCCCTGAGTAACAATTCTGTGTCCCTGAGTAACAATTCTCTGTGTCCCTCAGTAACAATTCTGTGTCCCTCAGTAACAATTCTGTGTCCCTGAGTAACAATTCTGTGTCTGTCCGTAACAAAGTCCCTGAGTAACAATTCTGTGTCCCTCAGTAACAATTCTGTCTGTCCCTGAGTAACAATTCTGTGTGTCCCTGAGTAACAATTCTGTGTCTGTCCCTGAGTAACAATTCTGTGTCCCTAAGTAACAATTCTGTGGCCCTAAGTAACAATTCTGTGTCCCTCAGTAACAATTCTGTGTCCCCTCAGTAACAATTCTGTGTCTGTCCCTGAGTAACAATTCTGTGTCCCTAAGTAACGTTTCTGTGGCCCTAAGTAACGGTTCTGTGTCCCTCAGTAACAATTCTGTGTCCCTCAGTAACAATTCTGTGTCTGTCCCTGAGTAACAATTCTGTGTCCCTAAGTAACGTTTCTGTGTCCCTAAGTAACGTTCTGTGTCCCTAAGTAACAATTCTGTGTCCCTCAGTAACAATTCTGTGTGTCCCTGAGTAACAATTCTGTGTGTCCCTGAGTAACAATTCTGTGTCCCTAAGTAACGTTTCTGTGGCCCTAAGTAACGGTTCTGTGGCCCTAAGTAACGGTTCTGTGGCCCTCAGTAACAATTCTGTGTCCCTCAGTAACAATTCTGTGTCTGTCCCTAAGTAACAATTCTGTGTCCCCAGTTAATTCTGTGTCCCTAAGTAACGTTTCTGTGGCCCTAAGTAACGATTCTGTGGCCCTAAGTAACGGTTCTGTGGCCCTCAGTAACAATTCTGTGTCTGTCCCTGAGTAACAATTCTGTGTCCCTAAGTAACGTTTCTGTGGCCCTAAGTAACGGTTCTGTGGCCCTCAGTAACAATTCTGTGTGTCCCTCAGTAACAATTCTGTGTGCCCTAAGTAACAATTCTGTGGCCCTAAGTAACGTTTTTCTGTGGCCCTAAGTAACGTTTCTGTGGCCCTAAGTAACGTTTCTGTCCCTAAGTAACGATTTCTGTGGCCCTAAGTAACGTTTCTGTAGCCCTAAGTAACGTTTCTGTGGCCCTAAGTAACGTTTCTGTGTCCCTAAGTAACGTTTCTGTGGCCCTAAGTAATGGTTCTGTGTCCCCTCCTCAGTAACAATTCTGTGTCCCTCAGTAACAATTCTGTGTCTGTCCCTGAGTAACAATTCTGTGTCCCTAAGTAACGTTTCTGTGGCCCTAAGTAACGGTTCTGTGTCCCTCAGTAACAATTCTGTGTCCCTCAGTAACAATTCTGTGTCTGTCCCTGAGTAACAATTTCTGTGTCCCTAAGTAACGTTTCTGTGGCCCTAAGTAACGGTTCTGTGTCCCTCAGTAACAATTCTGTGTCCCTCAGTAACAATTCTGTGTCTGTCCCTGAGTAACAATTCTGTGTCCCTAAGTAACGTTTCTGTGGCCCTAAGTAACGGTTCTGTGGCCCTAAGTAACGGTTCTGTGGCCCTCAGTAACAATTCTGTGTCCCCTCAGTAACAATTCTGTGTCTGTCCCTAAGTAACAATTCTGTGTCTGTCCCTAAGTAACCCCTAAGTAACGTTTCTGTGGCCCTAAGTAACGATTCTGTGGCCCTAAGTAACGGTTCTGTGGCCCTCAGTAACAATTCTGTGTCCCTCAGTAACAATTCTGTGTCCCTAAGTAACAATTCTGTGTCTGTCCCTAAGTAACAATTCTGTGGCCCTAAGTAACGTTTCTGTGGCCCTAAGTAACGTTTCTGTGGCCCTAAGTAACGTTTCTGTGGCCCTAAGTAACAATTCTGTGGCCCTAAGTAACGTTTCTGTGGCCCTAAGTAACGATTCTGTGGCCCTAAGTAACGTTTCTGTGGCCCTAAGTAACGTTTCTGTGTCCCTAACTAACGTTTCTGTGTCCCTAAGTAACGTTTCTGTGTCCCTAACTAACGTTTCTGTGTCCCTAAGTAACGTTTCTGTGTCCCTAACTAACGTTTCTGTGGCCCTAAGTAACGTTTCTGTGTCCCTAACTAACTTTTCTGTGTCCCTAAGTAACGTTTCTCTGTCCCTAACTCTCTCTCTCAATACAGCCAGGTCTGCCTCTGTTGAATGACTGGAGGCAAATGGAGAATTCTAAAATGGCCGCCATTTATAGCTCGACCATTACACAGTGCTGGCTGGCTGGGCTGATTGGCTAATGCGATCACATGTCATGAATGAATGCATTATGGGTCAGCGCGCCTTGTCTGCGCGCCTTCCCAGACATCCCCGCTCCGTCGCCGCACATGTCGCCGCCATTTTAGGAAAAATTTTGATTCGCGCATCTGAAGTATGCTAATTTTCGGATTCGTCGCGAATCGAAATTTTCCTAATATTCGAAACGAATTCCACTTCGCCTACTTCGATTCGCTCATCTCTACTTATGATGTTGAAGTCTCCTCCTAGTAGTAGTCTGCCTTGTCTCTGGGTAGTAATGATTGCGATTAGTTTGTTGTAGAATTGGAGTTGGTTGGTATTTGGCCCATAGATATTGACCAGGGTATATAGGATTTCGTTGATCTTACATATTAAGATATGGTAGCGTCCTTGTGGATCTGCTAATTCTGAGATATATTGGAATTGGAGGGAGTCTCTTATAGCGGTGATGACGCCGTTCTTTTTCTTGGAGTTGGTTGCCATACATATTGATGAGAAGTGGTGTAGGTTAAAAATTTGGGAATTTTGGAGGAGGTAAAATTGGATTCTTGGAGGAAAAGAACATCAGTTTGCAGAGAACAAGCTTCTTTTTGCAGTAGAGATCTCTTGTAAGGAGAGTTGAGGCCTCAGATATTCAAAAAGATGATATGCTAATCATATTGTTGGGTATATACGGGTTGCATAGAGTAGGAGGGATAATTTGTAAGTTGTGTGAAAAGTTGAATATTTCTTTGTCGTGTATGTAAGGCTTCCATAGAGAAGAAGTAGTGATCTTGATATGGATGGTGTGAACCTCCTGCGCTACTGAATAACCAAAAAATAATATAAAATATAAAAAATAATATGAACTAACAGGGATGGTGTGAACCTCTCACACTACTATACACCAACAATTGTATTCAATGAACTAAAGAGAGAAGCCGCCAACACTACATCATATACCCATGATCTAAAGAAATAAAAAGTTAAAATATGTGGCGCTACTCATAAAACTTAAAATAAAAATACTAATAAAAAAAAACTTCTAAAATATATAACACATATAATACACCCCATGAGATAAATATAAATATAATAATCAAGTGGTCATAGTGATCAAAAAATATATATTAAAGCTAATAATATCATAAAAAACATAGTGTATAAACACAGTGTATTAGCAATCTTGTGAAAAATTCTTACACATGAAAAACAATAAATGATTGTAATAATAAAACTGTGATCAATCATGCAAATATAGTGCAAAAAATGTCACACTAAAACGCAAACAAAAATAAAAAATGTGTAGAAAAATGTCCAATGGGTGGGTGACACCACTACTGCAATTGCAAGCACACGTGATCATAAAGTGACTCCAGGTGCAGAAACTCCAACACACGGCTAGATTAGCCTCTCACCTCCAGGCTTCGACCCGTGAAGGTCAAAGCGTATAGTGGGATCAAACCCTCAAATCCTCTCAGCATCTACTGATATCCACTGATCCACTTTCCCCATCCATAGTGATCTTGATATGTTCGCTGGTCTGAAGAGGTTATTTCCGCTTGTAGTAGAGGTGTTCGATGGAAAGGAGGTTGATGTGAGTGACTGGTGGAATGAGGTGGGTAGGGGATTAAAAAAAAACTTGTGAAAAATACAAGTAACATATGTAGCAGATGTTGCTACTGTGTAACGGGGGAACAGATACATACATGACTCAAGAAAGGAGTCATGTTGACGAAAAACTTGAAGTTTAGAAATGATCGGTTAGGGGCCGTCTGTCAGCTTTTAGTGGTTTTGAAATGATACCCAGTGTGTTTGGTAGTAAATGGTGTTAGGGATTTTTGGTTCAGGACTATTCTGCTTCCATTTGTTGTGGTCGGGTTGAAGTGGTGGGAGTCCACGGGTAGGATGTTCCATGTCTTCAGGAGTTCTATGCCTGCTTCTAGGTTTTTGACCATGTAGAGCCTTCCTTGATGCTTAACGATGAGCTTCATAGGGAAACCCTATTGGTAGCCGATACCATGGTTCCGCAGTGCTTTGGGTATGGTAATAAGTTTCTTGCGGTTGAGAAGTGTAGCTTTGGATAGATCAAACAATTTTATATTCACCTGAGAAGCCGGAATTGAGGTAGCCGTCATGATTTTTTCCTTTACGTGGTAAAAGTGCACACGCGCTAGGATTTCTCTGGGTATTGCGGCCAGTAGGAACGATGGTTTTGGTATCCTGTGTGTGCGGTCTATGGCAAGTTCCACGTCTGTTAGAGAAGGAATGAGGTGTTTCATGTATTGCTGGATGTAAGCTACTATGTCACCTGTAGTGATAGTATCCGGTATTCCGCGGAATTTAATATTGTTGCGCCTGGAGCAGTCTTCTAGGTCTGCCAATTTTAGGTTAATTTGTTCTAGGGATAGTAGCATACTTTTCATTGAAATTTCAGTGATAGGATGGTCAGAAGCAGGAAAGTTTTCAATTAAAGATGGAGTAGAAATGGCAGTAATAGTAGGAGGAGAAGAAGGTTGCAGGTCAGAATCAGATTGTATGTCCAGTCTGGGTCTGGACTTAGCAGGACTACTTGTAGAAGGAGACAGGGGCAGAGAGGACTCACCCAGGTCTCCTGGGTATAGTGGTGCCTTGAGCCTGGGGTCTGTGTGCTGAGCTGTGTCTCCCTCTGCTTGTGTGAGGAGGCTGTCAGCTAAGGAGCCGGCGCCATCTTGGATGCAGGGGCTGAGAGCAGGGAAGAAGCTTGTCAGCTTCCCTGGCTGCCCTTGTGATCTGCGGCATCGGGGCATGGTCTGGAGGATGGTAAGAGCCTCTGTATCCCCTTATATCTCTGGGGAGAGGCTGCGTTGTGTCTGGGTCCGGTGTGTGCCGCGGTTAGGCTGACAGCGGGAAGGAGCTTTCACTCACGAGCTGTCATCCTGGAGCCGGCCGCGCATGCGCCCCGACGGGTAATATTTTAAACAAAAATGTGTAGGAAAAGAACAATCGAAGAAAGTTTTTTGTTTTTCTTTCTCATTATTGGGTCAAATAGATGTTCATTATTAAACGTAAATTTCAGTGTGAAAACTCATACAAGTGAAAAGAGTTCAAAGAAAAGTCCTTGGCATGACTGTGTGGCAACCGGAAGTGACACGATCAGAACTGGAAGTGACTAAATTGGCGCCATTTTGTGGAACTCGGCAGTGGTGAGAGCACTGCAGTGATATCCATAGTTCTCTTAACTGGTTTCCTTGCCTGCAACATCATTGAGCTTGATTACCATTTCTATCTTGTCAGTGGTTGTCTATTTGAGGCAATAAAGGAGCTGTTTTACACTGCACTATTGGTGTTCCTTTGTTTTTTGTCTTTTACATGACCATTTGAGAGATCACATAGCAGGAGAGAAAGTGGCTGTTTACCATTCATCAGCACCTGTATGCCAACCATTTATCCATATCTATGTTATGTCATTTGGATATCCTGGAATAAGAGATATTTTGGTGAATTGGAGGAGGTGTTTGTCATCCAGTATATAAGTTGATCGTCTTGTGGATAACAACTCTTAAGCGATTAAGTAAATCATGAGAATGGGAGGCATACCCATGTGGTGAGTGCACACCCGAGAGGGGGACACTATATATTTTACTCACGTGGTGATTGTATTTGAAGAATCTGAATCATCTTGGGATAAAAAAGGACTTTTCTTTGGACTCTTTTCACTTGTATGAGTTTTCACTTTGAAATTTATGTTTATGATATTTTGCGCTCCTGAAACACTTAGATGATACATTGTTTATTAAATATTTTAGAGGTGGCAGCAATAGATTATTATATTTCATTCAATTAAATATTCTATCACGCATTTTAGCGCAGTTTTTTTATTTTGGTTATTGCTTAGATGTTTATTTTTGACTGCAAGGATAAGAAAAGGCAAAGGTGCAGGATGGAAATGTTTTCTTGAATGAACTAATTTCTAGCAGTGTATGTGATTTTCATTCAGTAAAGGCCATTCATTCCAAAATCAAATGTGAAAAAAGCAATCTTTCAAATCACATTTAAATTTTCTGAGAATTTCGTATGAATTTCCCTAAAACTTTTCCTAAGAATGCTTGTTCGAAATTGTATCAACCAATGGCCATCTAAACACTGAGTAGAGAAGGGCATTGTGATTTTAATGGGCAGGCATCCAGACTATATACATAGGAGATAATGAGGTTTAATCATCAACCTCTTCCGAAAGCAAACTTTACCTATTAAAGCAGTTGTAAAGGGTATTTCTTTAGTAAAATAATAAACATGATATACTTACCTGCTCTGTGCATGCTTATTATTTTCATTTAAAAAATTGATTTTATAAAGACGTTAAGGTAAATGATGTACTTCTCTATTACAATAAAAAATGGATCAACTCTGACTTTTTTCCAGGGCCCATGGATGTAATATTAAGCAAGTATAACCTTTGACCAGTAAAGCCATATTTTCCAAGTGTTCACATTTTGGCAGCACAGTTATGACTTTTAGTTTTAGACTCAGAAAAGTTGGGGCTTAGAAAGCATGTATGGTTTTGAGCACATTTGAATTTATGTTTGTG